AACAAAAATGCTAAAAACTTATTAAAAGCTGAAATCAAAGTGGGCTGGGAGACTGTAGCAATCACACAGGATTCGGAAACACTGGTAGGAAGTGGAGATTAAAAACACTCATTTGGTGTGATAAAACACCCCAGTGTTTTCAATCATGTTCTCTTTTGTTACTATTAAGCAGCAAATTCTCAGGCATAATTCAGAGTTGAGTATTTCCAGCATTCTGTTATAATGCAATGAATGATTGATAAGATTCTCCACCCAAATCATAGGGTGGAGTATGGCATCATACTCAGATTTATCACTTTTAATTAAACCAGGGACTGCATATATAGAAAAAGCTATAAACAGACTAGAATAAAATAAATAGAAAAGAAGAAAACAAAACAGAACAGAATAACAGAGTTGGGAGGGACCTTGGAGGTCTTCTAGTCCAACCCCTTGCTCAGGCAGGTAACCATATATCATTCCAGACAAGTGGCTTGTCCAGTTTCTTCTTAAAACCTCAAGCAATGGAGCACCCACAACTTCTGGGGCAAGTTGTTCCATTGATTAATTGTTCTAACTGTCAGGAAATTTCTCCTTAGTTCTGGGTTGCTTCTTGTCTTGCCATCAGGTGCTTTGGAGAATAGATCAACCCCCTGTTCTTTGTGACAACCCCTTAGATATTGGAACACTGCTATCATGTCACCCCTAGTTCTTTTCTTTAAACTAGACCGGGGTTGGCAACCTTAAACACTCAAAGAGCCACAAAGGTCCTAACTGGAAGCCCCCCCCCCCGTACAATTCTGGAGCTGACCGGAAGTCCAGTTCACCTCCTAGCATGTCATCCTTTTTCCTCTACCTGTCCTAACTGAAAGCTCTATCATTTGTGGAGCCAACCAGAAAACCCACCCCTTGCCATAGCATCTCCTCCTGGCCCACCTAGCATCCCCCCCACAACCAGAAGCTCCTCTCAAAATTGTGGTGCTGACCGGCGACAGGGAGCCTCAGCAAAGGGATGAAAGAGCCACATGCTGCTCCAGAGCCACGGGTTGCTGACCTCTGAACTAGACATACCCAATTCCAGCAACCGGTGCTTATATGTTTTAGCCTCCAGTTCCCTAATTCTCTTTTTTGCTCTTATCTGTACTCTTTCTAAAGTCTCTAAAGAGATTTGTGTCTGGCATGAACTTAGCATAGACATTTATTTGGCACTAATAATGCTAAGAAGTCCACATCCAAATGCTTTCTGATGTATTTCAATGTGTCATTCTAGCTAATGGCCATCTTTATCTATAGAGAGATATATGTACTTTTAGCTGGCTCCCACTGATCACATTTCAAAATACAACCTTCCAATTCAACAATAGTTTTCCAATGGCAAACAGTTCTTTTTATTGGTTTACATTTGGCAGGTCACAGTCACAACCACATCAGGCAGAAATTGCAAATAGACCACCCTGAATTTTGAAGACTTTCCCTGTTTTAACTTCTATTGGGGGGGACAGGGGAAACAGGCAGCTGAAAAGGTGATTCATTTGGATCACCAAGATCATCAATTTTAATCTGTATTAATTTTAAATACGGCTAAAGGAAATATTTGGAATTTTTTTTTAAAAAAAAAAATCTACAGGTAGTCCTTGACTTACAACAGTTCATTTAGTCACCAAAGTTACACTAATAAAAGTGACCCGTGACCATTTTTCACACTTAACAACTGTTGCAGGATCTCCACAGATCAAAATTGAGACCCTAGGCCAGAGGTGTCAAATTCAATTTCATTGAGGACCACATCAGGGTTGTATTTGACCTTGGGGGGGGGGCAGTAGGCATGGCAATGGTGGGTATGGCCAGCTCTATGTCACTCATGTCGGGGCACCTGTGGTGGCCCGGATGGGGCTGGAGGGATCCACTTTTGCTCGTACTTTGTTTTGCTTGCACTCTGCCAGCAAAAATGGAGCTTGGGGGTTCCCCTGGCCTCCATTTTCTGCTATGATGGCCTCCTGCAGCCTTCTGTCAGAGAAAAGGGCCACTGCACACAGCTCTCACGAGCTCCATCTTTGCTGGCAAGGTATCACGGCCCAGTCTTTTGCTGTTTCCTGGGCATCCCCACAGACCAGATCTAAGCAACCCCTCAGGCTGGATCTGGGCCCTGGCCCTGGAGTTTAACACCTGACCCCAGCCTTAAGCATTCAAACAAAACAAACAAAATGCTAAAAAGTTATGATGTTTATTTATGATACTTACCAAGCACATCTGAATTATATTAAAGTAACCAAAATATATTTACGATCCCTAAGGCATGTTGCAACTTTTGAGCACCCTTCATGTTTAGAAATTGTAAGTTGAAACATTTAACGCTAGGCCACTGACTCATATTTATGATGGTGGCAGTGTCCCAAAGTCACGTGATCACTTTTTCTGACCTTCTGACTAGCAAAGTCAAAGGGGAATCCAGATTTACTTAACAACCATGTTATTAATTTAACAACTGCAGTAATTCATGTAACAACTGGGACAAAGAAAGGTTGTAAAATGGAGCAAAATTCACTTAACAACAGAAATTTGGGGCTCAATTGTGGTCATAAGTCGAGGACTACCTGTATTTGCCAGGTTTGCTGGTAACATTTATGCTTGATCATATGTTTTCTTTTTTTAGAAAAATGATTTTTTTTGTGGTGGTAGTAGTAAATTATGATTTGAAACCCTCTCGTGTGTGTCTCTCTGTGTGAAATAATTTACAAACACCTTTGGTTTTTTGGCCAATATTTGGAAATTTTATTGGGAAATTAAGAACTCTAATCCTATACACTATAAAAGTTTGGTGACAGATCCTACCCTGTAAGTATGCAACGGATCACAGCTAATGATTTATGTATTTATAACCTGAACATTTCCCAAAGAGAACTTGATCCAAATATAGGCTGAGGTCTATACAAATATATCTGATCTCATAGAAGCATACAAAAGTCTTCAAAAGCCAGATTGATCTCAAGAAATAACTCTTTATTCTGAGACAGTTACCATTACTTCATTTTTTTAAAAATGACAAAACAGCAATAAACACTTCGGCTCTTTAATGAGCAGATAACCAGGTCTCTTAGCATTGGAATAATTATAATGTTCATTATTCAGATTAGCTTTTTATTTTTCACTCAGTAGAGCCAGCGTTAGTGGCCCAGAAGTACAAATAATTTTCCCCATCAAGTTGTATACAATTTGTTGTATGTGTAATAAGCTTTCAATCTTGAAAAAGAGTAACTGAAAAGAAACATTTTCTGTTACTGCAGTTAGTTTGTCAGAGAAAGTTCTGCGCGTTATCTTACAAACTATCAAAATTGCTAGTCATTTGAAAAAATGCAAAATAAAATAAAAATCACATAACTGTACTCTAATAGAAATATAATACAGGAAAAGAGAAACTGTAATCACCAGGGCTGTGCTCTTTAGTCCATCTTAATTTTTTCCTCTTTTTTTAAAATATATAAATGTATGATTACACATACAAACTTTTTTTTTAATGACCACGACAGACCGTTTTTTTAAAAAAATTGAAAAGTAACTGGGAGGTTAAGGGGCAGAGACATCCTGTCATTTTAGCCTACTTTTGTTTTCAGATCCAGACAATATTAAACAAGATGCAGAATTAAACATTTCCAGATTATATTCCACGTTATTATTCCAATTGCAGTATCTAATAAAGTACAGGAATCTCCTTTCTTGTACACTCTGCGTTTCACTGACTTTGCTATACAAAGCAAAAAAGGGAGTAACTTGGAAATCGTATAAGGGAATTTGTCCTCATGCAATATCATTGGCCATATGAATAAGTGAAAGTTGTATTTGTTGTGATCATTTTCGGCAAGGTCACTTTTACCTCTGGCAACATATTCCTAGCAAATAAATCTCGGAACCTTCCTTGTTCTTTTTGATATTGTTGTGGTTCTGTTCCTTGAACTATTACTGATGTACGTGGAAGAGATTGTAATGAAACTAGTCCTAAATGGGGCTGACTTCATCTAAAGATGCCCTATTAAATGTTGTAATTTAAGAGCATGGTGGTGATGGAGTAGGGAGAGATTATTCTTATTTACCGTTGCATTTAAGTTTTACACTAGTTCACTGCTGAACACTTAAGAGGAGATTTTCGCAACATGTTGTCCATCAGATTTCTTTGACTTCACCAAAATTTTCCACCAAAAATAATGCATCTGGAGGACATTAAGTTGGGAAAAACTGACTTGTCCCATCAAGTCTCTCTAGAAGCTACTGCAGAGACCTCCACTACTGGAAGGCAGGGGTATACTTGCAATTTCCTTTTTTTCCCCCCTAGAAAATAAACCTTCCTTCAATTAGGCCAATCAAGGAAATAAGTTTCTGTTGGACACTCCAATGGCATGAGAAAAGATTTTAATGACAGCTTAATTAGCAGCACACCCACCAAGCATAATAAATTATCATGCACATTGTGTGAAAAAAAAATATTCAGTTCCTTGATTCCCACAATGTTTATACCAACAGCACTTGTGTGGTAATGTTGAAGCTGCCAGATTTCCAGAACATGGTTACTTTTTTAAAAAAAGAAAAAAAAAACTGGCAGATCTCAGCACATGAGCCTGTGTCTAAGGCCTTGAACAGCTCTGATGCTTTGGATACTGATTCAAAGGTATAAATATGGTCTACACAAGAAAACTTCCAAATAAAAACCGGTGCAAATGATGTGACATTCCATCAATGTGTCCCTTGTGCATATTTATAGAACTTTTTTTTTTAATTTTTCAGTTGTAGTTTCTCTCCCACTCCTGTGTTGCACGTGCCTAATTCCATCATGTAACTTAAACCCTCAAAAAAATTAATAAGAGTGTGAATGTAAAAAGTACCATTCAAGACAATTGCTTCAAGCAATTGCTAAAGTTATGCTTTCTCTCTTTTTTTAAAGTTCATTTGTATATATGTACAATTCATTTTTCCCCCAATTCCCTCAAGTTCTCGATATGTATATTCACATAATATTCCTCCAAATTTAAATAATAAGAGTCTTGTAGGGTTGAAAGCCAAGATAAGTCTTCAGCAATTATAACCCACTGGAATCCACCCCAAAAATAAAAGTTCATATCCTCTTGTTTGGCTATACCCTAGTTGTTGAATGTGAATGAGGATGTGGATGGGGCAGCGTGTTGTTCTGTCCACCAGTAAAAGTATTAAATGTGTGTAAGGGTTGAATCCCAGGTATAGTGTTTGGAATCATTGTAATCGTGTTGGGGGTCATTAAAGGAATATCATCGGGTGACCTTCTCATAGCTAGTGTGTAGTCTGGGGGGCAGGCGGTCCTAAGAACCACCTCGTGTGGATGAATGGATTCGCATTCATGTCCCAAGTCACTGTGCTTCATTTGGAGGGACATTATTTCCTCTTCTTGTGCGTGGGTGAGATCATTGGCAGTTGTACGCTGCGGGCTACATCTCCGATGGACATCATGTCTCCGCTTGTCCTTTTTGTAGTATAATGCTGCAAAGGCTAAAATGTTCAAGAACAGCAAGGATGCTCCAACAGCAATGGTGACACTCAACTCCGTGGAGTAGTCTCTTTGATCTCCTGAAATTAGACTCGGTGGTTGTTTGGGATCGTCTTGCTTGGCTGTAGGAAAAGCTGACGTTACAGGTACCAAATTTTTCCGGGTTGGCCTGAAAGTAATATCAGTTGATGGCACTTTAGTTGTTGTAGAGGTATACTGTGAAATGTCATTAAGATTGTGCAGGTGAGGTACTAGTTCCAACCACAGGTTCACCTTGTTAGCTCTGTAATGTTCCTTCACTCGTGGTTTTAATCCAATGTGAAGATACAGTTGATCTTTCTGAGAGTATCTGGTCCATGCTACCTCCTCAAAACGATTAGGTTTTGTGTGAATGAACTTAGTATCTTGTGGAACTGGTTGATTGGGATCCCTAGGAGGAAAACAGGAAATGTCAAACTTTTTTGAAAATTGGTATTTCTTTTAAAAGTATTTTTACTTGCTTAGCAGAACATTTCACAAAACACAGCCTTAAATTAGGACGAATAAAGAATATGACTAACATTTAGCCTTAGCCATATTAAGAATAGACTCCATGAAATTAATGGAACTAAATTTACTGCTAAATTAAAGCTCATTAGTTGGAATATATATTTCTTAAGTATTTTAAATCTATATCCAATTTTTCCTAAGCATAGAGCAAATTATAATGAAATGCTCAGTTCAGATTTCATTATATCATGTTCATCAACATCAACATTATCATTATTATTAGCTTCACAACAATAATATAAGAGTGCGATAATATAATATTGAATTAGCAAAATCAAGGTTGAAACAAGTTCAGAATCATTTTCCTAAAATATCTAGCTAGGTATCTCTAGTGGAAATTTAGTTTGGTCTAAATCCAGTCTACAATACCCATTGTGTATGAACCAAGTCTGACCATTTTTATTCAAGTTATTTAACAAAAATTCTGCAGTTGTTATTACCTGCTTACCATATGTTTTAAGCCATCTGTATATTTTTAATGCAAAAAATATATTTGTGTGTTTGTAAAAATTCTCCAAATATATGCATCACTCCAAGCTAGAGTTCTTTCATATCTCTGGTTTAGCAAGGTATACTGTCAAGCCAATCCCCATCTTTGGCTTGTTTGTTCATTTTTCTTTCTTTCCTGGAGCTAATTTTGATGACGATAATAGTTTTGAAGGTGAAGATTTTCCTTATCCAATCTTTCATCAATAATCTGTCTAATACACTTTTTAAAAAACATTGTAAATAATGTTATATTTAGTGCAGTAGCAATGGATGGGTTGGCAGCCATAAATCAGCCAATTATTTTCACGCCACCTGCTAGCAACATCATAACTGCAAGAAAAACTTTTAGAATATTCCAACATTCTGAATTTATTTTGAACACACTGTAATCCCTGTGATGATGACCTTCTAATGCAGGGTTATTTGCTCACTTGTCTCAGTGCTGCTGCAGATATATTATCTATGCATTAATCAATTCAATGCAATTTGTCCCTTTATATTCACTGGTACATGGGCTGAAAATTATTTACCATCAGATCTTGCTAGATTTCCTTCAAATGAGATCTACCCACCTTTCTCAAATATCTGTCTCTTACTCCTTTCTGCCTGAAGCAGAAAAACAAGGAGTTTTTCTATATGAAAGAAAATGGTCAGAGCATTAAAATTCAATCACCTGTAAATTTTAATAATGCTTCATCAGAAATAGTTTTTTTTCCAGAGTGTGTTAGTGCTTGTGGGAATATCTGCATTAGATTTTGAGAGTTGCCCTGGTTCATTATAATTTCTCCAAAACTATTTTTAAAATGTCCATGCTTCAATTTCCACACTGTCTTTCTTTAACAACCTACATGTACAGATAGTCCTTGACTTACAACTACAACTGAGCCCAAAATGATGCTAAACAAGACATTTGCTGAGTTTTGCCCCATTTTATGACCTTTCCTGCAACAGTTGTTACATTAGTAACTGGGTTGTTAAGGAAATCTGGTTTCCCCGTTGACTTGCTGGTCAAAAGGTCACAAAAAGTGATCACATGACCCCGGGACACTGCAGCCATCATAAATACATGCCGGTTGCCAAGCGTTTTAATTTTTATCATGTGACCATGGAGATGCTACAATATTCGTAAGTGTGAAAATGGTCACGGGCAGTAGTGGGATTCAATTTTTTTTACTACCAGTTCTGTGGGTGTGTCTTGGTGGGCATGACGTGGCTTGGTGAGCATAGCTTGGTGGGTGTGGCAGGGGAAGGATACTGTAAAATATCCATTCCCTCCCCACCCCGCTAACCTGCTTTCCAGCTCCATTCTCCTGTACAGGGCAACAAAAGAAGACCCAGCCAATCAGCTGAGACTCTTATTAGCTGGGATTCAGGAGGCAGTGATTAGATGGGGGCGGGACCAACCAGAAGTGATATTTACCGGTTCTCCAAACTACTCAAAATTTCCACTACCAGTTCTCTAGAACCTGTCAGAACTGAGTGAATACCACCTCTGGTCATGGGTAACTTTTTTCAGTGTCATCGTAATTTTGAACAGTCACTAAAAGAAATGTTGTAAGTCAGGGACTACCTGTATATATATATATATATATTCTCTGCAATGTTGTATGGTATGATGGGGAACTGTCATTTTGTCAATTAGTTCTTGATCTACCTTAACATCTAGGTACTCTTCCAGGACTTACCCAGTCTTTGCAAAGTTTGTCCAATATGTCATCACCACCGCACTTAGCATGATGTCATTTTTTGAAAAATTACACGGAAACAATTCAGTGGGACCAATCATGGGAATTCCTAATACGTACGGAACTTCATCTCCATGAGCAGCATCTGCCCATGCAGGAACCTGATCTGTTTGGCAATGGTGATAGAAGGCATAAAAATATGTAGGCGATCCAAAGTTTGAATGAAGGTCAGCGGTAGCCACTGCTGGTGCAACCCATTGGTGATCAGTAAATAAAGCCAAGAGTGTTTTTCTTCTTGTTTCAGGATTGTGTCTATCTGCCCAGTCTGTATACATAAATTTAATAGTTTCTCTCAGGATGTCTTTGCCTTCTGGGTACCCATATAAGTTATCGACAAAGTTTGAGACAGCAAAGTCAAAATCACTAGCAGATATGCCGTCTTCACTATCAACAATGTTTTCCACAAATTTGAGCCCTTCTCCTTGGTTAACCCCCAACATAATGTCGTAATTGAGAAATTCTCCTTGTTCCATCAGTATCTGGGGGTCATCTGGTATCACATCTCCATCAATAACTGGACCAAAAGCTATGTGGTATCGGGCCGGTTGAATATCCTGATCGACAAGTTCTCTATACGGCTTCTTCTGTAGACATTCTACTAATTCTATGGTGTCAGATACATTGCAACCAACTTTTGTTGCCAACATCCTGGCATATTTGGCAGGCTGAAAACTGACTGCCCAGCTGGAAAGAGCTGTTCCACTTTGAGCTATTGCTCTTTGGAAAAGTCCTGCGTGATAAAATAGAGGATAAGGTTAGGGGAAAACGTTACTTGATGAGGTTAGTAGATTACATGCTTAAAGTATCTGAATTAAGATTTCAGCATTACAGAATAATTAGTAGCACTGGCAGCAAGTACTACCACCATACAGCCGAAGAAGACTGGGCAGATAAGGGACACTTTGTATAATGTGGTATTAATGATCCAATGATCCTCTCAAGACATGTACTGAGATTGTGTATGGCGGGAGTAGTTGTCACAGCTCCTCTAACATCCACTCTTTCTATGAGTAATTAAGAAAGAAGAAATATAGAGAAGGAAAAGGAAGAGAAAGTAGAAAGAGGAAAGACTCGATTGGTAGAAAAATGGGCAACTAAATTATGTGACGTACTTATATCCAAATATGAGTTACACATAATTATTGTAAAATAATAATGAAAAAGAGCAAAATCTATTGGAAGGCTGCTTCCATATAAAACTTTGAAAAGAACGATTAGCAACTACAAACACACTGATTTTTAATCCCGATTATGCATTTAACCAAGCTTTGTGGCACACTTTATATCCAATTTGAAGGAGCCTCTATTTCAAATCTCCAAAAAAGGGGATTCATATTTTATGAAAAGGCTTCAATCCCAGATTCCAGAAGACTGAATAAGGAAAAAAAATACGATAAACTACAGTTATGATAATAAGCTATGTGTGACAAGGAATAGAATCTCAGTTCATTTTTTGCAAGTTCATTTTTTTTAAAGCACAGAAATATTTAACACAGTTTCAGTCCATCTATGTGCAGTAGTTAGCTGCCAATTCTGAGATATTTAAGTGAAGAAAAGAAAGAAAATAAATACATGAAATGGGGCACAATTGATTGCACAGTGTTATTCTAGATTTTTGCATAGGGCCTTCAGAATTTAGTGCAGGTTGAAACAGTGTTGGAAAAGATTAATGCCCAACGATTTGTTGCTCTCTTTCAAGGTATAATTCAGGAAGAATATGCCACATTTTGAAACATCGCGACATGAAATGCTACAGGAAGTATTTTTTTTTAAACCAGAAAGCCTCATGAATCTCTGCTTAATTTATTTTATTTATTGCTTCTCTGTTGGTTACTTACACCATGGAATTTAATATAAACCATAGAAAACCATTCAGTGAAGTCTTTTCTCATGTTTCCCAAGTTTGGATTAAGCCAAAAGTTGAACTGGTTTAAAAATATTTTTCTATCACTCTGTTCAAAATCTTATTCTATCACTCTGTGTAAGGAATATTACAGGTGGTCTTTGACTTATGACAACATTGATTCCAACATTTCTGTTGATAAGCGATAGGCGAAACAATCGTTATGTGAATTTTGCCCCATTGTACAATCTTTCTCGTTGAAGTTATTAACTGAATCACTGCAGTTGTTAAGTCTGCACCATGGCTGTTGAGTGAATCTGTCTTTCCTATTGACCTTGCTTGTCAGAAGGTGGCAAAAGGGGATCTCATGTCCCTGGGACACTGCAACCATCATAAATACAGGACAGTTGTTTCGAGCACCAATTTTGGTCATGTGACCACAGGAATCTGCAATGATCATGTGAAAAAAAGTTTGTAAGTCACTCTTTTCAGTGCTATTAAAGCAGGGGTGGGATTCTACAGGTTCTCACCCATTCTCTAGAACCAGTTGTTAACTTTCTAAGCAGTTCAGAGAACCGGTTGTTGGAAAAAATCTCCTTTTGTTTTTCTCTACCCTTCTTACATTCTTGGCAGTATGCCTAGACTTAATGTCTGAAGGAGGTTTTTTTTTTTTTCTTTGCTGGTACTTTCTTAAAGGAGAAGGGTTGTTCTAAGCTTTTTACACTGCTGTTGGGAGGAAATACTCCCCTGTTGGAGTTAGCACTTTGAAGAAATAATTGAATAATGAAGCAGAGCTGCCAGAAAGAAGCTTTTAACGACAAGGAATCAAGATGAGTGACATTCAGCAAAGCTTCTTGTCTAGCTAGGAAGATTGACTTACCCTTTTTGAGTTTTGGTCTAAAACTGGTGACCATTCAAAATTACTATGGCACTGAAAAAAGTGACTTATGACTATTTTTCACACTTACGACCATTGCAGCATCCCCACTGTCATGAGAGGTCAGGCGAGGAGAAGCGCCCCTTGATGTGAGTGACGTTGAGTTGGCCATGCCCACCCAGTCACATGATCAGCAAGCCACACCCACCAACTAAGCCATGCCCACAGAAACTACTTGTTAAAAAAATTGAATCCCACCCCTGCATTAAAGTGGTTCACCATTGCCTCCTTCCTAGGGCTGAGAGAGGGTGACTGGCCAAGGTCACCCAGCTGGCTTTGTATCTGATGGGACTAGAACAGGCTTCCATAGAAAAAATGTAAACAATTCTCCCTTCCCTGGTGTGTGTGTGTATATGTCTCTGTCAGTGGTGGGATTCAATTTTTTTTACTACCAGTTCTGTGGGCATGGCTTGGTGGGCATGACAGGGGAAGGATACTGTAAAATCTCCATTCCCACCCCACCCCACTAACCTGCTTTCCAGCTCCATTCTCCTGTGCAGGGCGACAAAAGAAGACCCAGCCTATCAGCTGGGACTTGGGAGGTGGAGAATAGATGGGGCCGGGACAAGTCAGAGGTGGTAATTGCTGGTTCTCTGAACTACTCAAAATTTCCGCTACCGGTTCTCCAGAAGTGGTTAGAACCTGCTGAATACCACCTCTGGTCTCTCTCTGTGTGTGTTTAGATAATTTCTAACTTGCTATTGAATCTATCAGGAAATGGATTTGTTATATCACAATAGGTTTGCTACACTTTTTTTTTTCAGAGGCATTTCGGAGGAATCAAAAATTTTTCTCTTACATACCCATGGTTCAAAGGTGAAACCTCAAAAGCAACCTGGAGTAGATTAAGAATTAATTTTGTGGAGCTAGAGAAAGATCTGACTGCTTTATTGATTAAAAGATATGAGTGTTTTGAACGGCCCCGTTTATTTGGAAGCACTTCTCTTGAAGGATTAGAGCAGCATGAGCAATTAATGGTGGAGGCCAGTAGAATAAGGTATTTTAATTGAATGAATTTAATTGAAATACTTCAAGAACCTGACAGCTGAAATCAAAAAATAAATTGGAAAATAAGAATCCTTCTCTGAAATGAGGGAATGATCTCCCTGTCTGGAAACACAGGACCATGCAATTTAATAGTTCTCAGCGTCATTTAAGGGCAGTGGAAAGTTTAAAAGTTCCAAAAGACCTGATGCAAGTACAGGTGATCCTTGAATTACAACCATTCATTTAACTACTATTTGAAGTTGCAATGATTATGACACTGAAAAGACTGACACATGAGCAGATCTCACACTACAGAGACTTGGACGTTATTAAATATTGGCAAAACTCTGAACTCTTGTCAGTTCTCCTGAGGGCTCCTGAAAGCTCAGCACCTTACAAAATCGCTTGTAATCTCACCAGAGAGAACACACATAATTTTTTTCTATTTTCTCACATGAGATCTTGGAATATTTCAGGACGAGGATGCAGAAATCTTACAAGATTTGCTGATCTCATGAATTTGGGTAATTTGCAGCTGGGCATTATGCAGGATTGTATGATGGTGATTGGCGGGTTCAAAAGATTTCTGGCTCCTGGGAGGAGCAGAGCGGAAGGGGTGGGGCCAGCTGGTTGGTTGAAATACCAGTTCGGCAAGCCAGATGTAACTTTAACATGTGGTTCGCCCAAACTGGTCCAAACCGGTAAAATCCCACCCCTGTTTACAGCCCTCTCTAAGCAGTTGACAGAGTCATCATATTGCCCCCAACAATCTGGGTCCTCATTTTACCAACCTTAGAAGGATGGAAGGCTGAATCAATCTTGAGCCGGTCAGGAGAGAACTGCTGGATTGAGCAATGAGTTAGCTTTCCAGGACTGCATTCTAACTACTGTAATTTCAAATGGTTATGAAGTGAACCAGTTGCAAGTCAAGGAGTATCTGTATAGGTTCTGCTGGCTTCTTTCATTTTCTCTTAAAAATGACCATCTGCTTCTAACCTGACAGGGTGCTTGCAAAGTACTAAGCAATTTAAAAAATTAAATAGTGAAAGAGTGAATGGATTCATGCTTGAAATCTACTATGGCAGTGGTTCCCAAATAGATGCAGTGAATTTGGAAACAATTGCTTCTAAGAGAACATTCATCTGGAAATGCCAGGTGCATTTCAAAATAACAATAGCACTTAGACTTATATATCTCTTCACAGTGTTTTACAGCCTTCTCTAAGCAGTTTACAGAGTCAGCATATGGCCCCCAACAATCTGGGTCCTCATTTTACCCACCTCAGAAGGATGGAAGGCTGAGTCAACCTTGAGCCTGGTGGGATTGGAACTGCCCAATTGCAGGCAGCCTGCAACTCTAACCACTGTGCCACTGCAGCTCATCAAAATAGACTGGATTCCTATAAATCACTGAGCAAAGACCATCAGTCAACCACTTTCTTTTCCATGTCAAACAACTAATTTAATCTATAATATGATGGTAGAGGAAACAGGAAATGAATGAAGGAAAGGTTTGTGCATGCTTTCTATCTATACTTATCTTCTTGCACATTGACATCAGAAAATGTGCTGTGTTTGCTAGCAACAAAAACTCAGGCTAGATTCTGGAACATATTCAACAAATAACTGTAAATTATATAGTATTTGTAAATGTACTAATATAAAATGTGCTTTATTGGTTTGTTAAGATTAGAGAGTATAGGGTGTGCAGTAGGTATCAAACTAATGTGTCTTGTTGATTCAATGTTCAAGAAGAATGCTAAAAATCCAAAGCCTAATACAAAGTAGTCCTTGACTTATGACCACAATTTAGCACAATTTCCATTGCTAAATTCAATGAGTTTTGCCCCTTTTTATGACATAGTTCTTGCCACATTTTTTTAAAATGTCAAACTATAATTTCCATTGGTTGATATGGTTTTTAGTTTATTTAATTTTTAAAAAATCACCCACTTTACCACTTCTTCTGAATTATGTGGTAGGAAACAGCTAGCAAACTCTACTAGACAGTCATCTAGAAATGGTTACCGAGAAAACAAGCAGCTTGTTCCGACTACCCACTGTTCTCAGTAATTTTTTGACTTTTTGGGACTCAGAGAACTTTTTAGGACTCAGAGAACTTGGAAAAGTTCACCAGAACATTTTGAGGGAAAGTATTTTGAACCAGAGCTCAGAGCTCTACTTCCCTGTCCTTTTTTCAGGCAGACCATCTTTTACTAAGTACACCCAGCCTTGTAACAGTAATGTAGGCTTGTTTGCTAAATCAGAATTGGAAATAAATCTGTCCCAAGTTATGGTTCTGGTTTGGAGGCCAAATGTCAAGAGAGGTAAGTTGCTATTTGAATGTAATTACTACTCATAGGTTGTCACAAAGAGATTGAAATTACACAAATTAAAAGAAGAGAGAAGACAGAGAATGAACAAGTCATTTATATCCCAGTTTTAAGTGGAAGCTTTTTTCATAGGCTTCTGTAAAAGGTGCCACAAATTATTATAACAAAATGATCCACTCAAGAATTAAATGATAGACTGAAATTATTTCCCATGAAAAGCTCAATTTGTTCAAGTCGTGATATTATTGTAGTCCAATACAGAGCATGATTTTTTTCCTCAAAAAATATTTCAAATTTCTCTACAGTGTTGGGCATTGATTTAAATAAAGCTGACTATTTTGGACAGCCCTTTCTCAATGTTTAAAAGTTTCTTTTTTAATTCACAATGTTCACAATGTCTGTAAGGTGTCTTGGATTCTATGGAAGGGTTAGATTTAATTAAAATAAATCCATATCAACAAAACATGAGAAATCAATTATGGTTTCTCTTCTTGCAAGTGAGTCAATAGAAAATAAGAAGTGGTAGTGGGGTTGTTTTTGTTTTTTATTTTATTACTTTACTTTACTTTACTTTTTTACTTTACTTTTTTAATTAACTTAACTTAACTTAACTTAACTTAACTTAACTTAACTTTACTTTTTTACTTTACTTTACTTTACTTTATTTTATTTTATGGTAAATTGTGTAAATGTGCTAAATAGGAGAGAGAATTATTTTCTTTGGCTTCCAGCTTTCCATCCAGAAAAGAATTAGAGTAAAAGAAAAACCACAATAATAACCTTGATACATCTATAATTTTAGTCTTTTCCTTGGGTAGTACCAAATGTAATTAACAACAGATTCAAAATAAAAGCTTTTTTTTGACTAGGTGCTCATTTTCTTCATACTAAATGAGTTTGCCATCCTCCTACTATTTTCCCATCATTTATCATTTTTATTTTATTATATAAAATACAAAAAGAAAATAAGAAATTAAGGTAGGGAAAGCGAATGGGAAAAGGGGATATGAAATACAAGGGGGAAGAGAAAAAGAAAGAAAAGGGGGCATTGACTTCCAACTCTTCCTAGCACTGTACAAGATAAACACACTCCAACCTCAATTTTTTGCAGCTTTGGAAGAACTGGATATTAACTTTCATTTTCATCCTCACTACTATGGTTCAAATGTACACCTCTCAACATAACTGAAAGAAGACTGTCGAGGAAAAAGACAAATTTGAGATTTTTTCTTTAAGGACATTAGCAAGGTTGAGGGTTTTGTGCTAAAAAGAAAGGACTACAAGTCTTTGATACTTCCAGAGAAGAAAAAGATTTTATTCCATGAAGATAAGCTGGAAGGAGTGACTTAAACTTAATGAATTTGCCATCCTCCTACTATTAATTGTGCCTCTGAACACAAACCAGATTTTGAATGGTGCAAATGTCACGAACTCTCTCCCCAGAAAATGTTCCTCATTCAATATCTTGATAAACATAGATGTAGAAATGGAAATAAAATATATACCCACTTTCTCACAAGAAAAAGTTTTGCTAGCATGAACTGTACTTGTGTTTTCATCGAATTTCATCGGGGAAAAAATGTTCCAACTTATGTGTTTAAAAACTTTAGAAAGCATTGATGGATCAAACTGAAGGCATATCTTTTCAAATTCACAGTTTTAATGGAATCTCAAGTGCTTTTGAAATACTTTGCAAAGCTCACAATCTTGACTTTAAGAGTAGGCTTCTTCCAAGAAACAACTGGATACATCTTCCAAGTATGATTAGTAGGCATCAATAGCCATGATTTCATCTAATCCTCATTTCTGGCCACCTGCCCTGGTGACCATTCATGACACCACATCATTGTGTAAAACACTGCCAAATGGAAGAATATCTCCTTTGAATTCCACCACATTGTTTCATTAGATAATGGTGGGTTTCAAGATGGGATGGAATTAAAAAACACAATTTTTTTTGTTATACCAAGTACATAATTTAATCATGAAAAGAAGAACCAAACTGGAAAAGCAACTAGCATGAGGGATTCAGAGTCTTCAATACCATCAAACTTTCCTTCATTAAATAAATACTCAAATAGCTCAATGTAGTTAGGCTATATCGTGGATCACAACTGATAATTTTCCAAATTATTGTTCACTAACGGGAAAATATTAATATAGTTTATGAATAACTGGCAATTATTACAGCATCAAAATATTTTTTTACAAATTGTTATTTACTTACTGCATATATGAAATGCGTTTTGCTGCAGAAAAGCAATGTATTAAATAAATAAATAAATAAATTGATTAATTAATTAATTTAAAAAATCTTACTTATTAATTTGCATCTGAACTATTCAGTTCACACCCCTTCTGGAAGTATGATCGAGTCATGGTGGCGCAGTGGTTAGAGTGCAGTACTGCAGACTACTTTTGTTGACTGCTGGCTGCCTGCAGTTTGGCAGTTCAAATCTCACCAGGCTCAAGGTTGACTCACCCTTCCATCCTTCTGAGGTGGGTAAAATGAGGACCCAGATTGTTGGGGGCAACATGCTGTAAACCACTTAGAGAGGGCTGTAAAGTACTGTAAAGTGGAGTCTAAGTGCTATTGCTATTGCTATTGCAGGTTTGTTTTAATTATCAATGCCCCCTTATTGTGCTTGTGAAAGAACTTGTAACCATATTTATTATACACTTTCCTGAAGCCTAACTAAACTAGACCAGCTAAACTAAACAAACCAACTAAAGTAAATCTATTACACAGAGACAAACATACGTACATGTATAGGAGAGAAAAAAACTTACGGCAGAAGAAATACATAGAAATTCAGTTTGCATAAAGTGTAGGTACATAACCTCAAATCAAAAGTGGACTTTTTTTTTTTTTTGGGGGGGGTATTATTTAGATACATCAAGAACATATATGCAAGAGCATCACAGAGTAGGCATCATGGTGGCATGCAGACACCAAAATCATCAAAATTTGCAACCTGCAATAATACCTTTGGTTGAATTGCTCCAACGGTTACCTTCAGAATAATGGGATAAAGTCAAGAGATTGACACATGAACCACCGGCGCCAGATCCAAAAACAGTTATTCTCAGCGGGTCGCCCCCAAAGAACCCAATATTTTCACTAGTCCATCTCAAGGCCTGAATGAGATCAAGAAGGCCATAATTCCCTTTAGCTGCTTGATCCCCAGTGCTCAAGAAACCTGCAAGTCAAAAGAGAAGAAAGGGGGAAAAACATTATAACAACAACAACAACAACAATGTTAATGTATTTTTCAGATTATGGCTGTGCTGTTTTCATCAGGCCAACTACTTTCAAAAGTATCAGGAGTTAAGCGCTATGTAAATACATTTTGTTCTTTATCCACTTTGCAACCATTTACAAGTGACTCATCATTCCCACTACAAATCCTTGGGTATTTATTGTAATAACGCTATGTATTATAAATGACTGCAGGTGTTTTTGAAGAAGATAGACTGATTTCAATACAGAATGACACACTAACTGACACTTCCTTTGCAATTTGTTTTACAGTTCAGGGAGGCCGTAGATTGAAGCTCATTAGGTATTATTTACATTTCCCATTGAGAGGACACTGAGAAGACCTGTCTGGCTGAGGTTGTTTTAGTTATTTATTTATTTACCTTTAAGATAATAAGGGAAAAGAGCTGGAGGAACAGAGTGTATCACGTACAGAAATTCATTTCAATTCCTGACACAAATTTTCTTCTTCAGCTCCAGCCAGGGAACCAACCCCTGTTGGTTCATATAACATGCTGGATTCAGCCCCAGCTCCCTAGCCATTTTTTCTCTTTCCCAAATTGTGTGGCTTTCTGTAATTTAAAGGCTTCAACTGATGCCATTAGCAAACTTTGTTTAAGAGGCACAGAAAATTGCAAATACTAATCTTTAACCTTACAGTTCATCGCTCAAAGCAGAGAACTGGGATTAAATCCTTCAATTTTTCCAGGGGCAAAAGTTCACAAGTTGCTTTATAAAGAACAAGACTCCATAAACCTTTCATTAAGATTTTTTTCCCACTTTCAAATAGCATATTTCTGTTCATAACGGGGTTTAATTAAAGAAACTGGGGAAACAACCTTTAATTATGAGATGAAGAAAAAAAAAACATTTTATCCTTTATTAAAAAAACGAGTTGGCATATCTATAATGCCCTTTGCATAATGGGTGATAAGAATGATACCTTATTAATAACTGTAATAAAAGAAGAAAAATGAGGTATTTTAGGGCTTTTCTATGTTCTTGGGCTTAGGGAAGAAAATTGCTCTAATAACTTAAGAACTTCAATGACACATAATTACAGTCTACTGGCCCTAAGCATCTGAACACTTTGGTAAAGTTTGTTTTATATCAAAATGGTATATAGCATTGCAAGTAAACAAGCATGTATTGCTGATAAAACCTTCAGTCGAAGAGAAGGAATTAATTTCATGGTTTTGAATGTCTCAAAAAAAAAACTTATTTTCACACACGTGACATCTGAGAAATATTTGGAGATATCACAAGACTCACTGATGAACAAACATTGATGTTTACTTTCCAAGATGTTCTTTAGTAAGCGAAGTATATTTTTTTGATGGCTCAAATCCTGAGAGATAATTTCATCTCCCATAATTTTTATTTACCATTTCTTTGTTGTGCTGTCTTATATGTCACTCCATTTCGGAATTCTCTGAGTGACTGACAAATAACAACATAGAATTTAAGCATAAGAAAGTAACAACACCAAGATTATGAGGTGCCCCTCTGCAGACAGCAGAACTTTCAATTGTCTCTAAATCTCTCTCTGAAGAATAACAGAGTTGGAAGGGACCTTGGAGGTCTTCTGGTCCAACCCCCTGCTCAGGCAGGAAACTCTACACCAAAAGTCAGGAATGACTTGGGCTGAATTGCCTAAAGGCTGTTCCAATTGCTTTGTTGAAAAAAATAAAACTATTTTGTTTTATTTCATTGGAGTCAGAGGTGCTATTCAACCAGTTCGCACCTATTCAGGTGAACTGGTAGCGGTTATTTGGCATGGGTCGCCGAACCGGTGGCAATCCCTGGCTGGCCACACCCCCAACCTTGTCGCCCAGTTGCTCACTTGCGATTGCTCTCCTAGCTTTCTGTTCCCCACGTCCTCTTTCTCCCTGGGGAAAAGGAAGAAAGACATGGACGCTGCAAGTATCACTTTCCCCGTGTGAGTTAAAGTGTCGGGAGTGAGAAAGAGTGTGGTCTGACAGAGGGGGTAGGGGTGAATCGAGCCTTGGAGCACTTTTGCAATGTAAAAGAAATGCATTTTGGAAGCAGGTCTTTTAAAAACTTCTCCAAGGATTCTCCATGGACGCTGCAAGCATCGCTTTCCCCTTGTGAGTTAAAGTGCTGGAGTGAGAAACAGTCTGACAGAGGGGGTGGGGGAATCCACTCAAGCCTTGCAGAAATTTAAAGGAGCTGCTTCCAAAATGCTTGTCTGTTAAGTGCTCTCTCTCTCTCTCTCTGTGTGTGTGTGTGTGTGTGTGTGTGTTTGTGTGTGTATGAGAGAGAAAGAAAGAAGGTAGAGAAAGAAAGAAAAAAAATAGGAAGAGAGAGAGAGATAAAACGCTGTGCTATTATTTTTAATTATTCCATTATTTATCATGTGTGAATATTTTACACTGTCCCTACATCTAGAGTGATTTTTCTGCCTTTTTACAGAACTATAGATAAGTTGAGGCTGGATGACAAGGAATGGCTGGGAGGGGAGGGGCCAGGTGAGGCACCCCTTGATGTGAGTGACATTGAGTTGGCCACGCCCACCCAGTCACATGACCACCAAGCCATGCCCACCCAGTCACATGACCACCAAGCACACCCATCCAGTGACATGACCACTAAGCCACACCCACCCAGTCACATGACCACAAGCCACGCTCACCAAATAAGCCACGCCCACCGAACCGGTAGTAAAAATTTTTGAATTGCACCACTGATTGGACTCCTTTGGAGTTGACAACTACTCTGTTTTATGTGGTAGTTCCAGATGTTTTTGATAATGGAATGATCTGCATCATGGAAAATAAACAACAGCAATAAATCCTACAGTTCTGTGAAGAAAAACTGTACAAAAGTACCAATGATTCCAGACCTTTAAAGGAAAAATCCTTATTACTCAAATATATCTTATGTACCTAAAAACTATGCATTAAAACTCTGTCGATTGGCCATAAATTTCCAGAATCAAGATCAAAATGGGGACAAACACCTCAAAAACATATTTAGCATTGATATCCCCTATCCAATGAAGTGATGCAACGACTCTGATGTCTAGAACCATGATGGCAAGCCTATGTTATGCCTGCTGGTAGTGGCATGCAGAGCCATCTCTCTGGGAACGTCCGCCATCGACCTCTGCTCTTCCGGGTTCTGGAGCATGAATGTGTGCCAGGCAGCTGGTCTTTGTGCACATGGCAGTGCCGGCAACCAGAAGAGCAGCTCCCCAGCCAGCCAGTCTTCATGCGTGCGTGCATGCACGTTAGAAACCGGAAAACCAGGTGGCTGGCATGACGGGAAGCTAAGCTTTTGGTTTCCGGAGCTCCTATGCATGCACATCAGGGAGCTTCTCTTCAGTTCCTGCTGCATGAGTGCACACACACACTCACATTTTGACACTCGGTGCTGAAAAGGTTAGTCACTACTGGCCTAGAAGAAGAACTCTATTTTGCTGAAGTTTTGAAAAGTGAACTTTGCTTTTGTTTTTTAAGAAAATGAAGTACTCCTAGAAAGGACACTGCTTTCAGCAAACGATGATAAAATTCAAATAATAACACATTTGGGGAGATGTTAGCATGCATTGTGTCCTTGCATTCTGACATATGACATAAAAACATAGTTCATTGCATTTCTGTGATGATGTTGCTATGCATGTTCTTTTACCTACATGTTTACCTACTCCCGGTGGATGCCTATCCCTCTGAAGACGTGCATTCCTACTCTTATTATCATTTATTCAGGTGAAGTCTTCCTAACTCTAGAATCCTTGGAGAAAATGACTGATTTCTTTGCATGTAAAATCTGCACAAATTAGAGAGGGAAAACACACTCACAAGTTCTAGATGTTCTAGGCCAAGGGTGCCAAACTCGATTTCATTGAGTTTGAACACATCAGGGTTGTGTTTGACCTTGGGATGGGGGACATGGCCAGGGTGAGCCCGGCCAGCTCGATGTCACTCGTGTCAGGGTGCCTGTGGTGGTCCAAGCACTCTGCCAGCCGAAGCAGGCTCCTAAGCTTCGTTTTTGGCTGCAACGGCCTCCTGCAACCCTCTGCCAGTGAAAACGAAGCTTGTGAGGGCCACGCGTGACCATCCCGAGCTCCGTTTCCATTGGCAGAGGCACTGTGGGCCAGTCCTTCACTGTTTCAGGGCGGCCCCGTGGGCCAGATCGAAGCATCCCATGGGCCAGATCCAACCTGCGCTGCCTTGAGTTTGACACCCCTGTTTTAGGCACTTAACAGAACTGGTGCTGTGCAACAGAAAGGCAGTGAAAGGCTGCCAAAGCAGAAAAAATATTTTAAATTCCTTTAAATGACAGCATTCAGTTTCAGTCTCCTGTATGTTCTATAACCCAAAATAAAGGCTGGGCCCTCTACAACAGGGGTCCCCAACCCCTGGGCTGAGGCCCATTACTAGGCCTCAAGCCATTTGGAACTGGGCCGCAAATCCCTATTTGCATGAGTGGATGGTGAACATGTGTGTACAATCCATTGGCATGAGCTGTGAGCACGCATGCCTGCTTCTTGTGCAAATGGAGCTGTACGTGGGCATGTGCTTGCCTGCTGCTCACATGAAACTATCCCTCTCCCCCACATCAGACCACAAAGCCAGAAAGGTTGGGGAACTTTGCTCTGTAAGATCTGTTGTTCTTCTGCAGTAGTTAAGTTGTTAAGTCATGTTCCATGCAACCCCATGGACCACAGAAGGCCAGCGCACTCTCCTGTCCTCCACCATCTCCCAGAGTTTGACCAAATTCATGTTCCTTGCATCAATGACTCTCTCTAACCATCTCATTCTCTGCCGCCCTCTTCTTCTTTTGCCTTCAATTCTATAAGAGCTACAGTTTAGATTAAATCACAGAGTTTACTTTTGCAATGGGAAAAAAAAATAAACATGTGGATTTAGATCAGCCTCACCTAGCTGGTACCTTCCAGATCTCTTAAGCTGTAACTCT